AAGTTGGGTACTTGAGCAAGGATAGTGTTTAGCAATTTTGTCTGGTTGACAATTACTACTGAGTAGTGAGTTCAGTTGTCACTAGGTGCCCCATACTTGTGGCCTTGTGCCAGACTCAGCTAAGCTTATTAGATGATAGCTACATGTCAGGTTATGGACATACTAATCCACCCTTATATAGATTAATGTTCTATTCACCAGTTACAAGTATGAATTGTAATGTCTTTTATGAATTCACCTTGTAGTTTTATTATAAACTATTTTCATAGACTGTGCTATGGTTTTTCTAAAAACTTAATAAATTGAGATTAAATATACTAGTTTCAAAATGTTAACTAAATTAAAATAGAAGGAATTGTGGTCTTAAGCTCTGAATAAGAAACATATGAAAGTATACTTTCATAAATTTGTTATGGACAATAGAATTTTTTATTGCATAGTGACATGATTATTATAAAACAAAAAAAATCTAATCAATTTAAAACAAAAAACATAAAATCTGTAATCATAATAAAACAAAAAACATAAAATTTGAATTGTAATTTATGAAATATAAGCAGATAAACAGAGGAAGTGAGAGAAAAAAATTCATTTTTTTGCCTGTGATATGAGAATATACTTGGAAAATATTAGAAAACAAGAAGCTCTTCTGATTTTGTCAGTTTAGGAAGTGGGTTTGGTTGAGCACTTTTCAGCACCCCCCCTTGTATTACTACATAATGTTGACATTATGGTCTAAAAGGAATAGTTCGTCTTTAGCAAAAACATTGAAAATCTGAACTAAAAACTGATTCATCTGATATTCAATATATTGATAAAGGTTAAAAGTTAATGGCTATTGATAAAAAATATCAAAAAGATAATATTACCAATGATCAATATTTGAAGTAGCATTAAATTAGTTACATTTTGAAGGTTTTTTCTTCCTTGCCTTAAATACTAGCATTAATTGTAAAATAGCTTAAAGACCTGTATCAATAATCAACAAAATACAAATCATTTATTCATACTGTGTCTTTTATTGAAAATATCATATTTAGAAAATATCAGTGTTGGATATTTTATAATAAAGAAATACATAATCTTCCATATTTCCCAAAATGGAGAAAGTTGATTTCAATATATGAGGGGGTTTTTCTGTTTATTTTTAATTTAGTTTAAATTGGGGGAAAAAAATTACTCACTATATAAATAAAAGCTATATGCGAGCGATAAATTGTCATCTAAATTACACAAAAGTGAAAATAACACTGACTTCTTATTTTAACAGATATATTTAGCAAAATTACACAAAAATATCTTGAAATATGAAAGAGTAAATTTATTCAATAAAATCGTCATTGCCTTCAACCATAGCCTCCAGATGACTTCAGAATCTCCTGCAACTCTTCTGGATGGTGTTCTTGTTTAAATTGGTGAATGATGCTATAATCCTTGCCTTCAGTTCCTCTTTGGTGTTACAAGAAGTTTTGTTGATTGTTCAGTCAACTGTGCCCCACACATAATAATAAAGGGGGTTGCAGCTGGGGAGTTAGGTGGCCAGATGTAAGAAGTGATGTGGTCACAGAAATTCTCCTGTTTTTGTGGCATGGTGCAGAGTTCTGTTGCCAGACATAGGGTCTTCAAGCAGCCACCCTGTTGACCCAGGGCAGCACTACCTTCTCAAGGTACTTGATGTAGGCCTCCATGTTGAGTCTGAGGACCTCACTAACAAACTCGGGAGTTTTTTTCGTATCAGAGTGAATTTTCTGAGGTGTTGTAACTTCGTAATCACCATTAAACTAATGCTAGTTTCAAATGTTAACTCTTTCCAAATCCTCTGCACTGTCCTCACATTGACACCCAAACACTCTGAAATGTTTGTATTGGAGCTTCCGGTGTGAGTGCCAAGCATTACAGCATGCCGTTTCCAAATTTCTGGTGGAGTGAATTGCATCATTGTGCTCTTTTTCTCACAGCCGGTGCCCAACTGACCCTACTATACTGTGTAGTTGACAAAATTAAAAACAAACAATGTGCATGTAAGAAATTAAAAATATAAAATGGCAACAATTTACCCATTGCAACCTGTATATCATTAAGATGTTTTTCAATCAAGAAAGAAGAACCAAAAAATGCAAAACAAAACAAAAAAAAAAGCTACAAATGAAAATAAAAAGTCATGAATAATATTTAATATTTATATTCTATAATTTCACATTAAAAATAAATATATGCTTGTTTTGTTGGTTCATTGATTGAATTGTTTTTACAGCTTATCAACCTTTTGCAGGTTATTTAAAGCCAGAAAATATATTTAGATCATAAGAATTTTTTGGAGCTAATAATGATTTTACTAGTACAAGTCCTACTAGTTAACCTATAACTGGAGGTAGAAGAGGTGGATTCATATCTTTTCCAAGGGTATTTATGCATGTGAGTATTATGAACCTGACTGGAACTCGGCTCCTGATTTCCAATTCCACCACTTTCATCATTACCACTATTTGCAAATCTAAACTTACAGCACCTGGTATTCCTAATTGGTTACCCATCTAGGTACTGATGAGGCTTGATGTTGCTTAACTTTACTGATCATATGAGAATTGGTGGTTTCAATGTGATATGGACATAAGCCCATTTGTTTTCTTGAAAGTAGAAGCAAAAAATTATTTTGATAGAATTTAATATTATTTTTAATATTTAACAACAAATAATATCTAATATTAAACAACAAATGACTTAACTTCAGTTATGACAGAGATAATCATTTCTTCTTAGCCAGTGTAACTATAGAAGTTCTTTGACCCATAGACGAGACGTTGCAAGCCTTTCACTACTCTGTTGCCATTTCCATGGCAAATCTTCAGATGAACTATACTCCTAAGGATGATGTGAATTTCTTTCATTTGAGTTCTCTGACTCAATTGCAAAGAACATTTCTTTCACAGTTAATGGGCTAATTATCATAAATGTAAAAATGAACAAACTCAAATTACTTTCTTTTTAGTGTTATAAATAAAATTCTATGGAATAATAAAATTAACTATTTTTGTAAGTTTAAAACTTTAATTTTAAAATGATAGTGAATTTGAGAGCAAAAAATGTTCACAGTTTTGTATCCAAATGTAAACAAACAGAATTTTAGAATGGTCAAATTGGTTAAGGCATACAGGTCTTAATGGTAACTTCCTCTGTCTTGAGGAACACATGTTCAAATCCTGTCAGAGAATGCTAATTTTTCTTTAATAAGATTTCTTGAACATTCAGGCTGGTAGATGAAAATAATAATCTGGGCTCTGTCAGTTTTTCCATCACCATTATCTGCTTTAGTTGCATAAATATTTTAAATTTGAATATCTAGTCATTTTTCTAAATGATTTAATCACTTTATTTTAATTTCATTCATTATTAACTAATTAACAACCGGCCCTTTCTGATTAAATTTAGAACTTTTTTTTTTCATGGAATTTAGACAAACAATTATTACAATAGATAATTAAATGAAGTAATCAATAGCCAGGATCAGCATTATCTGATTTGTCATTTTCAATGTGTGATTGGTTGGCCTGATTTGATCAGATTCAATCAACTGATTGCCACTGAATCAAGTTTCCACAAAGCAGGATTGGAAATAGAATGAAGTAATTAAAGTGGGCTTTTATGTCATACAAAAATATGGATTAATATACAGAGAAAGCAAAGTGACACAGATTATAATAATGTGACAGACATTAACTAACCTGCATTTCTGGAAGCTTCAAGATTTGCCTTAAAAAATTATTCTAAAAAAGGTATCTCAATTATGAAGTTGAAATATTTCTTTTATCCAGTAACATCTTCAAGTCAAGGGGTCAATTGTTACCTATTCTCAATATCCTCATAATCACTTTCTGTTTCCTACTTTTACATTCATATCACACACCTCATTTAGTAACCCTCTACCTTGAGTTGCTCTTGAGCCTCGTCTTGGGTGGACATTATTAAAAAAAAACAGTGATACAATTATGTAAGATATCTCACTGACTTATTTTCCATAAAATATTTATTAAATAGAGTTAGTAGAACAGGAATTAGGAAGGATAGCAAAAAGACAAACCTTACTCATAGCTACAAAAGACAGGAAGTTGTGGAGATCTATGATCAGTAAACTCCTGAGGGAACATGTCATATAAAAAAAAGAATATTATCATATCTAGTATTTGATGACAGACTTTTGTGTAAATATTAAAATTATATAAATTTGTAATAAATATAAGAAAAGAAACTTCATTTGAAGTTGACAAAACTGGGAATATTGTTGAAGGTCCAGTAACATTCAGTTTACCATAAGTGGCAGACTGGGTCTAAAAACATTGGTTGACAGAAAACAAAAGGAGCACTCCCACAACTAAAATCTTATCATTTAATTTTCATAATGAATAAATAAAATTTTCAAAAAATACATATGGAAAAAGGGATACAATTAATATTTTTATGGAAAAAATATAAATTTCTTAGTAATTACATTGTACATGTTCTGTAGATATTACCAAATGTAAATACAGAAAGTTATAACTGAATTTTTTATTTATATTTTTAAATTTTAAGTAATTGGTTAATATTTTTAAATAGTACAATTTACACATTAGCAGATAGTTCAAAAGCACAACAGAGCATTGCATGTAGTCCACTATATTAAGAGCAAAAGTTTGTAATTACTAGATGATTGTTTGAATCTGGCAATAAATGCTTCTGCATCCAATTCATCTAACAATTCCTTTTCAATGGATAGCAAGTAACATATATGATTCTAAATTCTCTTCAGACAGCAAATTTTTTAACCTTATCTTTACGATCTTTAGCTTCAAAAATGTCCTCTCAAATTAAACTTGAAGAACTGATAGTGTGCAGATGATGTTATAAAGTTCTTATTTTTTATTATTAAAACAGTTGTCTGCATTTCTTTATTGCATTTTTATTTGATATAGTGGTGGGGTCACTTGCCATTGAGCCAACTGAAACCCTGGTCAGTCAGCCACTGTGTATCATCCAAATATTATTTTCTTAATATTTCTGTTGCAATTATGGGGTTTTATATACGGTCAGATAAGGTAATTATACACTGGTAGACTTTGAGTTGGTGTGGGAAGAAGATATTCAGTAGTGTATATACTTTGTCACATTTATAAATTTCAAGTAGTTTTATATTTCAAGTAATCCCTCAAAGCCATAAGTTAATTTGTCTTTCATAGTTCAAAAGTTGAAGATTCTTTTTGCAACTTTCTAACAAAAGATTTTTTTAATTATTTCTCAGTCAAGTATTGTATAGGAAAATTGAGGAATGTAATATAGAGACCTGGAAAGATATTCAAGACTGTAGATATTTTTTTTAATTAAAAGTATAGCAAAAAAGAAAAAAATATTGAAATAATATGAATATGGATGTTTTTGCAGAAAAAAACTGCAGCTAATATCTATTGCCACTCCTTGTGGGATATTTATTAATATTTTGTTTGTTCAGGCATCCATTATATGATTTGACTGATACTAACTTAATCAGTTTTCCTTATCAAGGGCTTGTATCTAACTTCATGCTATATTTGTTGCAGCCATATTTCCAAGTCTGATATATATGAAAGCAACATTTTTTGCCAGAAACTATTATGGAGGGCTTGGCACTGCTTTTCACCATACTTAATGTGTAAGAAACTATTGTGAAAATTAATCACTTTATAGAAGTCAAATATGCTTCCTTTTAAAATTAATCTATTTATTTTGTTAATTATTACTGACTTGATTTGTTAGGACTTGGCTCTGGTCTTTGATAAATTGTTGGAATAGACTTCATTCTTAAATTAAAAATGCTTCCAGATATATCTTGCATTTTCCAACAAATCATACAAATTTTCATATAATAAATCTTAAGTTTTTGTTAAAATTTCATATTGTATGAGAATAGTGAATTAAAAATATCTGTGATTGATATGAAGAACAAGTAAGAGTTGATATTCAGATTTGATAAGGATGATGGAAAACATTAATTTTTCTTTTCTTTCTTGATAAATATTCAAGCAACAGTGTATTATATAAAAGGGGAATGTGTGGGTAGTGCAAATGATATTTTGTTGCAGAAAGTGAAAATGAAGAGCTGGGATCAAATTCTGGGCTAGTCAGTTACATTTAATTTCATATAAATGCACTTGGAAAAGGCATGAATTCAGAATTTCTCTCCCACCAGCTATGGGTTAAATAAATAGTAATGTAGACAGGGCTATCTAGCCTTTAGTGGCAGCCACAGATAAGAAAAGCTTTGAATTCTAAACCATAGAAAAAGCAAGGTATATCCAGTTCTGGATTTACATATGGGCTTATATGGGCTGCAGGGGTCCCCAAGACTGGAAGGGTCTTTAAGAACACACTAGTCTTGAGTCCCTGATAAAATAAAAAAAAAAAAAAAACAGATATAAAAACAGAAGAGATTTGTTTATTTTCAGATTTAATGTGTCTCCTTTGATCTAATTTGGCACCCCTCTCGTTGGAATGGTTCTTTTAAATTTGATGGGGATCCTTCAAGGGTTCCCCATTTAAATTTGTTTTATAGACATGGGGTGGGGGCAAACATATGTAATGAAGGAGACCAAACTTTTGTTAATTCAGTGGTTTCTTAAATCCTACATCTGGCCCTGGGTAAATTACTCTGTTATCTTTCCCAAGAATTCATCCAATTCATAGATAAAGAAAAATGATCTGTAGAGAGTTATGATCACCTACACATTGAAGAAACATAGAATATATATATATATATATATATATATAATTTGCTAAGAGTCTCTGAATTATCTGAAATTTCTCCAGTCTCTTATTTTCAAAATCAGTACAATATTTACTACTATGAAATGTCTTGCTAAAATTTTCCTTTTAAAACCAACTAGGAGTGGTCACTTACACATGATTGTTTTCCATCATGCTTGAGTGTTCAGCCATATTAACTATATTACAATTTTTCCCCAAAACCTTTCCAAGAATTATTTGAATTAAAGAAAAGAAATTGATTTTTTTAGCTTGAGAGATGTGTGCTGCAAAGTTGATATAACTGTTAATTTTGAGAAAAAAATTTCCTAACTTCTTTTGGTTCCCAGGTTTGATTATAAATTTGTTATTAATTTTATTATCAAGGATTTAAATGCAGGTTTTAAAGATGAAAGAATTAAACCCTATTCAAAGTAATAAACTTTTATTATTTTGTAGAAAACTTCAAAAAGGTTTCAGTAAATTTGTTTGAATATATGAAACATTAAGTAAACTAAACATACATGTATTAGAACTTTGGTTAAGCTATTAACAAACATTTTGTTTAGTCAATCATAAAAATGTCTAATGGATAGTTGAGTTAAGTAGAGGAATAATAATATAATTTAAATAATTTTTCCTTACTCTTTTATTAAAGCAAAATTATAATTTAATTATGCATAAATGAAATTGATATTCATTTAAAAATAAATAAAGGAATAAAATTAAAAGAAAAATGCTTGCTTACATTATCATCTACATAAAGAGATTTCTTCAGATATAAAAATAGTTTTACTATTGGTGAGTGTAATTGAGGTGTAAACACAGCTTTAAAAATATCAAGTGCAAATAGTAATGCTTATA